TGAAACTAGTGGCTGAGGGGGCTTGGATACCCCCTTGTGTGTACTGGCAGAGATCCAGCTGCTGCGCAGAAGAAGAGAACCTGCTGCCTTGGAGACATTGCTGCTCTGAAGAAGGATCTTTCCTTCTTCCCTCCTGGACTTTTATTTGGAGGGGAGAAGAGATTTGATCCATTGTAAATACTTATGTCATGGTAGAGATAATTAAGATTGTATATAATGTATTGTAGTATTTATTTGTACCGTCATTGTAATATATTCCCTTTTCCCCCATTTTGAGTCATGTGGTTGTCTGGAAAACTCATATCGCACCAGGTTGAGATGTAGGAGGGGGTTTGGACTAGGGAATTGGATTTTTGGGGTTCTCAAACCATGACACACTCTCTACTTGGTTGTATTTGCACAATCACACAAATATACATACTAAGAAAAAAAGAAAAAAATCTAGTTAACAGGATTAGTAGTAGGTAGGCAGTGGGGATAATGCCAAGAATCCTATACACACAATGCGACAAGAAAAATTGCTTCATTCTACAGATTCTAGTTTCTGTTCCATAAGGTATTGGGAACATTGGTTTTGCAGGAGCAGCTTTGTCTTGAAGGAGGTGAAGAAGGGAATACTTTGCAGGGCTTGTGAAGCAGACACAGCTCTGACTTGAATAGACTCGGGATGTCTCTCCTTGCACGGGATGTATAACCTAAGGACAATGTCTAGGTACCATACAAGACGATTGCAAGTCAGAAATGCAACAACTTGATATGCAACAGTGGAGACATTAGTGATGCTGGCATTGACGTGAGGACTAGAAAAAAGAAGTCTCTTAATAGGAGGTGGTGCTAATGGGGCTTCTTCCATCATCTGGACAGCCCATACTGCTGTGTTCAACTCAAGACTGTACAATGTCTTAATGTCCTACTGAAAGCACAGAATATGCAAGGTTTTCTGTTATCTGCTGATCTCAGCTCTCACAGATATGTCCTGAACTGCCCATTCATCCAGGACCAGAACAACTACAGGGTGGACTCGTTCACAGGATTGCTGAGGCTGCAGGAAGCCTCCCAATGTCTCTAGCAAAAGCTGCCTGCTTAAAGCAGGTTCAACAAGATGGTTAAGGTCACTTGTATCTCCAAAAGCATCTTCTCTTGGCACTGTCTCCCCAGCCACCAAATGGAAAGAAGGCTAAACTCTGTATATGTTTATGAACAGCCCTATTTTTTGTGCGTACTCTCTGATGTCCCGAGTAGTGTCAGGGGCATTTATTTCCAAATAAATAGTTACTGACGAATAGAAATAACAAATACAGGGAGACAGAAGGCAATAATGCCAAGTTCACCTGAGCACACATATTGTTCAAATGCTAGAGATGAGTGATAGTGAGACATTAAAGCTCAGTCCTTTAGATGAAGGTTCATCACTTTATACAGAGAGTCCCAGGGTGTGTATGTGTGGTGTGTGTATAATATACTTGCACAACTGGATTCTCTCTCCAAAACATACTGTGGGCATCAATAGTCATCCCAGTTTGTCATTTTTCAAAATAAAGTCGTTAATTCTCTTTTTAAGAGCAGGCACAAGTTGCAGTAAGCTGCCTAACCATTGCTTTCAGAGCCCAAGTTTGAATGAGCTTGGTCTACAAGACTGTAACAAATAAACTGCTTTCTAAATAGAGGGTATTCGTCAAAAGAGGTTTTTTGCTTAGATAACGAGGACAAATGTCCCATTTACATGGTAATTAAGTTACACGATTCCCACATGCGCTAAAATTACAAAAATGTGTGCTTTGCAGTGCACACAGCAATAAATCTTATAATTAAGAAAGGCAAGATCACATTTCTTGGAGAAGAGATTTTTACAGATTTTTAATACTCCTTATACAGAGAGAACAAGCAGCTGGATCCTACACAGCTGGAGCCAGATCCCAGCTTTCCTATAGTCCAAAGCCTCTGTGATACAGAGCACTAGTTTAACTACAGTGACTAGTTGAATTACAGTTACTGAAAGTGTCGGGCATTTTGTGCATTGAACCAATTTGAAGAATATTTGAAAACTACTCAAGAGTACACTGTCCAGTCTACAGACTAGACATCAATGGAGTCTTTAGATAGAATCATAGAATCCTTAAGGTTGGAAAACACCTCCAAGATCATTGAGTCCAACTGTTAACGCAGCCCTGCCATGTTCACCACTAAAGTGTCACATCCACATGTTTTTTGAACCATTCTAGGGATGGTGATTCCACTACTTTCCTGAAGAGTCTATTCCAGTGCTTGACAACCCTTTCAGTGAAGAACTTTTACACAGCCACTCCTTATATGATTCTCTCTATAGACCCTTCCCCAGATCCACTGCCCGTCTCTGGACATGCTCCAGCACCTCACTGTTGTTTTTATAGCGAGGGGCACAAAAGAACACAGGATTTGACAGTGTAGCCTCACCAGTGCAGAGTACAGGGGAAGAATCACCTCCCTAGTCCTTCTGGACACACTATTTCTGATACAGGCCAGGATGCCTTTGGCCTTTATGGCCACCTGGGTGCACACTGGCTTCTGTTTAGCCACCGTCAAAACAGCACCCTCACGTCCTTTTTTTGCTGGTCATCTTTCCAGCCACTCTGCCCCAATCCTGGAGTATTGTATGGGGTTGTTATGACCTGAGTGCAGGACCTGGCACAATTGCATTTCAATCTGTTATCTCAAACTTTGCACCTATACTTTGTTACAACTGATTATGCCATAATATAAGCTTGCAGAACCTACAATTTTCAAAAATGACTAGGGGGAACACGCTCCACAAATACTTTCATGTTCAGTCTTTCCCCAGCTCATCCCCTGGCTTAGGATCAATTTCCTTATTTATTTTCTTTGAACTGAACAACTTAACTTCATGAAATCAATTCTGTAAATTTAACTTCTCTCAAGATTGTGTCCCAGATGTGTAAAAAGTATAACATGATTTGGACCACAAAGACCCCAAACATATATCCTTTCTTCTTCCCAGCAAAAGCACAGTTATTGGAGTTTTCAGACAAGGAGGGAGCACTGGCCGTTTCACTGAGTGAGAAAGTTTCAGTCTCCACGGTGCCAGTGAGGCTCACGCCTTTCCATGATGAGGAGTATTTCTGAAGTTCAACCCAACACTTTCCCACACTACAGGCTTCTCTCTTCCCCTTCAAGGCACCTCCACTGATACAGCAAATCCATCTATAAGACAATAATTTTTGCCAATTGTAAATAATTTTTTTTTCCTTTTTTAAAATCTACCTTGGTTTTGTGATCATATCTACTCTATGATCTAGTATATCATATCTACTAGATCATAACTACTAGAGATCATGTCTTGTATAGATCTATCTGGATCATATGGTATGGACACACAGATTTAAAGCTGCCCAGAGAAAAGCATTTGAAGAAAAAGTTTAAATCTTTACTAGATTACATATAACTTTTTTTTTGTGTGCGTGATATTCCACAATAATGGTGGTGTTAATGTAAAGCACCACCATTCTTATTATATTTGGATTCTTGTCCTAAATAATTTTATGGTGCGATCAGAGATTGATGCTTGTCATCCTTGGTACACCAAAAATAAGGAACATAATTTCAGTAGAACCACAGAGCTACACTGTAGCCTGCACTTGGTGACAGTGAAGGCATTGGGGACATCCCACACCTGCACCTCTGCAGCACGCCAGAAGAATTCCCTTTTGTTTCAACATACAAACACACCAATTGGTTTTGAATGGTCTACTTGATTTTAAAAAATCTGTTTTTCCAAGGAAACAACAAAATTATTCCTCTTAAGTCTCAGGAAAAATGACATTTTAATTCCTTTTATTAAATCAGCTTTATCTTATGAATTTCATCTACCACTTCAGGCATACCGAGTGTGAAATTCACGTTCCCCTGAATTCAGTAACCATTAAACCTGGAAAGAGGTTTGATCAGCAAATCGAGTACTTTCTCCATACAAATTAACAAACATGAACACACAAATATGAGCATAAAGGCCTCAGATCACAGAGGTTTTGCCCACTTATCAAAAAACTGCAGCTCCAGCAGGCTGTTCCCTCCTACAGTAAGGAATAATGGAGACTGGCCTTTGGCTCCAACTCTCTTAGCAACATATCTGAAAAAAATACATTAAATGCTTACAGTCTTAATGCATTTCCAAAATATCCTTACTACTCCCTTAACTATCTGAAGTACATTAAATTTCCAGCAGTTCCATTTCCATTTTTCAGAACTTAGCCAGATTAAAAAAAACCAAAACAAAACAGAACCTATTATTCCACATACTAACTTCAAAGCATACATTTGCAGAAATAATTCAGAAATATTTAGACACTAAAAATCCCTAAGAAACAAAAGAAAAATTATAAAGTACTTTAAACAAATAACAGTTGCTCATTTCCTCTCTACTTTTACAAGAAAATCTGTGGTTCCTCTCAGGTTTCAATTTAGAAGGGATTCAGATCACTAGTTAAACTCAAAGGTGTCTCTGGTAGATAGAGACATTTCATCATTATATTGTCTCACTGAAAGGGCAGTATTGCACATAAGGTGTACCATATCTTCATCACAAATGTGCTGTAATGGCTAACAAGAAAAATTGTAAATTATTTACTTAAGCAAAACCAACTAATATATTAAGGGGATGACATGTTCTGATAAATCAAGTAATTTTTCCTTCTCTTTCATTTCCTCCAAAACTTCAAAGCAATCTCATGTTGTTTATGCATAAAATTTAATCCTTTCACCAATCTGTAGTTTGATTGAATTTGCATACTCTATTTCCTACAAGTCAATGTGAAGAGAGCCTCCTGTAATTGAAACCATTTCCCCTCCAGTCCTCCTATCTTTGTTGTGGTATTTTCTATTAGTAGCTCTATTATGCCTAATGTCCGTAATGTTGGCAGATTAGAATTTTCACTTAATGCAACCTGTATCTATAAACCACTAGGATGAAAAAAGAACAAATACAAGAAAGAGGAAATAATAATTACCTGTCTTTGATGCCACACAGATCAATGTGTAAATCACTAAAATTCCCCAGGGAGCCTTGCTGAACTAAAATGAGGTCCTTGGGCTGGTTATCAATAAAGATGAGCCTCATACAGCCTTGAAAAGCAGTAATGGGATTTAAACACTGGGAATCAGTGAAATTGTCAGGGCACCCTGTGGGAAAAAGAGCAGAGGCAGAGAAGAATATTGGAATGTTCAACTATTTCTGCTGGGATTTCATAATGCAAGAACTCATAGGCTTATAATTCCAAATGTTTTTATTCCTTGTGCTACGCAACCTCCTGTGTTATAAATCCAGTTAGGGGATAAAAAATAGAGAGCAGCCAGCTACTGGAAATATCAGACTATGAGGTTTTCACAAGTGATAAGCAAAATCAAAATGTGATTTTTTTTCATCTTTAAACTCCACAGTTGATAGCAACTAACTCACACTGAAAAAGTTGTACAAATTATGAGCTAAATTCTGTTACTGAAGCAATGCACACAGTAAAAAGATGAAATCCTGTGGGCAGCAAGAAAGCCATTTGTATCTCTTCCTCAATATTTAGACAACTCTGAGATCCAAAGCCTCCTGTGCATCCTCACTTAGTGCTGTATCCAGAGGGTTCATCAAAATCAGACCCTCGCTACAGGAAGCACTACACAGAAATGTATTATATAAAAAGACAGTTAATGACACTACTGTTATCTAAATTAATACTTGCACTCCAAAAAGGAGAAAATAGTATTTTTCAAGACTGTTCTTTCCATTTTAAAAATTGAACTAAACCTATATTCATTTCCACGAGAGTACCATACCTAAATATCTCTGTAGATCTGAGCCATATGACATCTAAGTTCTGAAGTCTAGAGTCACTGAGCCTGATCAGAACTGTGATATCTACAGGAATATTGATAATACTAATAGTTCTAGGCCCTTTTAACAAAAAAAAAAACCCTAAACCAAACAAAAAAACCCCCAAACCCTAAATATCCCACTTGTGGTTAACAAAGTTTTGTACATTTTGCATGTTTTGCCAGCTAGATGTAGGTATCCATTGGCTACCACTACAAGTTATCCACTTTTACAGCTGTGCTAGCAGTTCTGCTTGTTCTCTCTCTGTCAGGCTTAACCAACACCCTTCAATCTGCCCACAGTGCTGTATACATTGCAGCTCAATTGGCTGTCCAAAATCAGTCATTCTGTTTGCTCTTAGCTGCAGAGTTCTCCCTGCACCTGGAGAGAACTCAATGGTGAGCACCTGAGGATCTGCATCACAAAAACCTGTCTGAAACAATCTACCTCCAAAATAGTAGCTGTTTCCAGAGTAGATCCTTGAGACAGTGGTTGCATGGCTGGCGGTGGCAGCGTTGTTATCCAGTGTCAGGGTAATGCGATGTCTTCTGGCATTGATGTTAACAGAATGCCAAAGCCCATCGTGGAGATTGGTGCCTGGCAAAAAACAAGTACAAAGAGTGAAAAAAGAGGTGCAAGAGACAACTGCGGTCTTCAAACCTCCTGTTGCTTCCAACAGGTGACCACAAATATGCAGTTGATCCAAAAAGAGGGAGAACTTTAAGTTGAAAAGAACTCATTACCTCTGGAAACAAACTGGCATAGAAGGGCCAAAGAAAGGGAAAGCTTTTAAGAGTATTTAAGTAGGTCATCTCCGTTTTCATCTAATCTGGTGCTACAGGGACTCATCAAGCTAGCCAGATCCTTCACCTTTGTGGTAGTACATTAGTATCATTTTGTGCACCTTTACGTCTATCTTCAGTCTGTTGATAAATGCTTATAGGTCCCAGGAGCGTGCAGAGATCTCTACTGAGCTTCTGGTACTGAACATGTGCTTGAAGTCACAGAGGATTAGATTCAGTGAGACAGTCATACCCCGCTCTCGGGCTCCATATGAAACCTGGCAGTCTCCAGTAGGTATTAGCAGGATTTTTGTTTCTTAAAACCCTTCAGCATCAATGCAGCACACACTACTATTAATGGATGCACTTTGCACCTTTCTACATTGGATTTCAACATGGATCTTCTGAGAGCTGTGATTGTTTCTCTGACCAGGAAAAGATAAATGAGAGATAACAACACGAGGTGGCCTCTTTCTCTTTTACACACTTGTGCGAAGTGGGATATGACCTCTCTGTTTCCTTATTCTGAAAATCAGTGTTCCACTGTGGCTCTTGAAACAGCACCACAAAGCTACAGAGAAACTCCACATCCACTACTCTGACAGCTGTAAAAATCACTGGGCAAGCTTCTGAGCTCACACACAGTGCTGCAGATCAAAAGTAACCTAATAACAGTTCAAAATATGCTACTGTCAGGCTGGAGTCACTGAGATCAGGTACAGACAACTAGTATTTACTCCCCTCCCTAACAGAATATTTTTGTTAATGTAGCTTTCAGAGAAAACAAACAAGCACTTAGCAAGACAAAGAACTGTGGGAACAGTTCAAAACACAATAAAAAAAAATGTGGGTGTTATGTGTATGAAAAGCCATTTCATTATGAATTCGAAAATGAGACTATTTCCTCAGTAATGGCTGTTAACACATGCACAATTGCCATAGAATTAGAGGCTGGTTTTACAGCAAAAATGTATGATTTTTCAACTAGAATGAGTCCACTTTGAAGTGAAATATGTTGCTGAAGTTTGAAACTGTGACAAAACAAAATAGGTCCCATTTGGGGCAAAAATAGGTTCATTCTTGAGCAAGCGTGAGTTTATTGTGAGTACCTGACATCTGTGGAACATGGCATTTGCACTTTCTGCATATTTTCCATGTGTAAGTAGCCAGTTTAGCCATGTTTTGGATAGTACCAAAGGCTGGGCTAAGGTTCATGATTTCAGAATTACAAAAAACATACACATCCAAACAAATATTGACATTCTCTCAGTTTTGTCAACAATTTAATTAGGACTGCAATAAAGGCTGGAACCTCAGTTTTCAATGTTCAATTGCAGCAAACTATGGCTGTGGCAATCTACATGAACAAGAATAGATGCAGGGCTGCCTCATTTTCTATAATAAAGGGGAACAAAACACACAGGGGAACAAAACAGAACAGCTCTGCTTTGACAACTCTGTCAGTTTTTATCTCTGCTTCTTTTAATAGATACAACTATTCTCTTTTAGTCTTTACAGGGGATATTTTAATATTAAATGTTTTAAAACATCTGCTCTCATATCTAATAACAGTTATTATTATAACAATTATATTTTATATACACTTAACAGTAGATATTATTATTATTATTGTTATTGTTATTATTATTATTAATTTCATCTGAGTTCCATCAGCCCACCTTTGGCAACTGGTATTCAAACAATGCAAAAAATTAATTTCCCACTCTTCCCCTCCAGCATGCCTACATAACAGTATGGGGATATGCAAAGGCCCTAGACTAGGAACATTTCTGTTTGGGATGCCAGCATGGTTTATGTAAGTCACACTGGCATGGCAGCAGGGCCACTCTGGTCCTGCCTTTGTTGTACATCTGAAATTGTTTCCCTGATGTCTCTGTAATCCAATGCAAAGGTGTTCTGGTAAGAGTTTACAAGCAGTTTCCCCACAATTTTAAATTAAAGAGTCATCCCACCAGTTCCACTGAAAAAAGCGACTTGCAAAGTGACTAAGGAAGTCCCTGAGGGAGTGTAAGGAAAGGAAGCCCATGCTCAGTCTCTCTTCTGACTGTAGCACAAAGGGAGAGTGTAAAGCTACAGTCAGAGGAAGAAAATCAGCTTCAAGGCTTCCTTAACTTGTGCTGGAGAAAAGTACAGTGGCTGAGCTGCCTCCCAGCTGACTATTGAAGACAGGAAACAGGAAGGTCTTCATGTGACCTGACTGAAGATAATTTAGCATGACTGCTTAAGAACACAGAGGCCGATCTAATTGTCAGACAGTTCGAGTCTAGAGATCTCAGGATGCCAATTTTCCATGCTTAGGTCAAGCTGTACCGAGTGGCTCTATCACTGGAAATCAAAAGAAAATTTAAAAAAGAAAGTAAGATTCAGTGTTTCCTTATTTCTTGATTCTTTCATCCTGTGGAGCTGAAACTCTGTGTTTTAGAGGGAGACAAACGAAAGTAAACCAAAAACAAGCACCTTCACTGATTTCCACTGGGTTCTCAGTCTCTTTTTGGATAAGTAATGTCAATCTCCCACCGTGGAGGTAAACCAGGAGAGGTCCTGAATTTTCAGACAACTCGGTGAACAGAAGTAAGCCATCTTTATTCCATGTTCGAAACTGGAAGCTGACTGACAAACCATCAATTTGAGGAGTGCCGGGTAGTAGCAAGTAGCTTCGACTGGTGCTCACAAAGGTAATGGGAACAATTTGTGGTTCTGAGCAAGAAAAGGTCACGTTCCCCTGCAAATCAAACATAATCAGTATGACTTTTTTTTTTTCAGTCATCTCAAAGCATTTTTATTTAAATAAGCTTACTGGATTTCTAATGGCCCTCGAGGCTGAAATAGGTATTGTTATTCAGACACAAATCTTGGGAAACCATTAGGAAATGTATCTGTCCATGCTGGGAAAACTCATCTAACTTCAAAATTTTACTTTCATCCTAAATGGGAAAGATTGAAAAATCAAACCAGTTCTTAGAAGGATCAAGATGTGTCTAAATGTCCCTTATCAACACCACGCCTTAGTTGATTACGTCAGTCATCCAGCCCTGAAATCAATGGTGCTATTTGCCCAGAAGAGCAGCACATTTACTCAAAGCAGTCAGCAGAATCTGTACCAGCATGTATCACTGCAGTTTGTGGAAGAAACAACTCCATTTTGCTCAGCCATTGTAGATTACCCAACCAGGTCATTCAAGACGTAATAAAACCTTAACAACATATAAAGCCAGGAGGCATCTAAGGAGCTATGTCTTTTAGAGCCACTCTAGGAGATTGTTGCAGCCACCTTGCTTTGAACTAGGCTGCTTTGTAAAATACTAACTGTAATCTGACAAAAACATTGGAGTGTAAGGCTTTCTCCATGATAACACTTCTCATCAGAGCCCATACCTCACTCTAGCAGGATAATTATAACCAACAGCACTTGATGGATGTGCAGGAAGTTGCACAGTGCTTGGTGAATTCCTCTCTGCCATCTCAGACAGCTGATGGAACTGTTCCCTATCACTTTCAAATGTCTTTCCATCCTGTATTTTAAAATGGAAAATAAAGTGTCAGAAATAGACTAAGTTATCACTGGATGAAAGAGCCCTTGATAGATATTTATCTATATAGAGTTATTTACATATTACCTGCCCTGTGAGGTTCAGAATGCTACATACATACCAGATTTAGCAATGGCAAAAGGAATCCATGAGCATATTATATTAGAATGAGTTTTCAGAGATAATCCAAAGTTTATCCAAACTCCACTGAACATCAGCTACGTAGGAAGTAGGACAGAAATTTGTTCTCAGCCTTTAAAGTTTCTACTACCTGGTGGGTTTTGCCTGCATAAGAGTTGCCACAAGCTTTTTTTTGCTATTGTTGTTGTTATATATCCACCTCAATATTCAATCAAAATCATGCCAAATTACAGAAAACAGTCAACTGTAGGATTATAAATAAATACAGTTAACCTTCTCTAGAGCTGTTTTAAGTTTAGACACTTTAAATGGCAATGACTATTTTCCTTTGGAATTTTAGACCTTTACAGTGCTTTCAGTACTTTACACAAAGTTGTAAGACATTTATTGATCATAGAATGGTTTGGGTTTGAAGGGACCTTAAAGTTCATCTCATTCCAATCCCCCTTCCACTAGACTAGGTTGCTCAAAGCCCCATCCAACCTGGCCTTGAACATTTCCAGGAATGGGTATCTACAAATTCTCTGTGAAAGTTTTTTCAGTATCTCATCGCCCTCACAGTAAAGAATTCAGATATGATTTTTGTCTCAAAGCTCTTTCCAGATTTTTACCTACCTGCAGAAAAAGCTATGCCTAGGCTGACTTAATGGTGCCAAAGAAGGCAAATGCTAAGATGAAAAAACATTTTGCAGTGCACAACAAACTTTCAGATGACCTTAAAACAAGCCAGTAAAGACTTTGTGTAGTTAATATGCTTCCAGCTGCTTGTAGCAGCACCATAACAAAGTATCACTGATGCACAGGCATATGCCCAAATATAAGGTAATGTTTCCGTCTGCATTTGACATGAGATTCTGAACACATACCACTAGTCCTAAATTCATGGGTTGCCTTCACACCTTGAAAAACTCAGCAACACTCCAGTCATTCACAGTATCTAGCAATTCATGTAAGCTGGGATGTGCACAGAAGTCCTGTCCTGACACATGATCAGCAAAGAGTGTTGACTCCATGGCCAGCACTGGGACATATGGACAGGAGCTACACATCTCTTTCCTTGCTTAACCTGGCGAGACTTCAAGCTCTGCAGCCTCTCCATTGACCAAATTGAAGAGTGTGATTCTACCTGCCACAAGAACAAGCAGGTGGAAACGCATAAAGGTGGTGCTGCAATATTCTATGAACATGAGATTAAAGGTATATATTTGGGATAGACAAGAGGTGTGTCTGCCTTTTGGGGGAGTTCTTTTCAGAAGGTATTTCTGTTATTTTTTATCAAAAATTGAGATCTCCATGATGTAAAGGCCTTAAGTAGTAGCAGTCAGAGCTAAAAACTAGCCAGTGTTTGTGGGGAAAAAAAAAAAAGGTTAAATAAAGTTGATACCATGTAAACTTAAGTCAGTTGAACTGACTCATTTATGGGGAAAACACCTTCTAAAAGCAGTATTCTAGAGTAAAACCAGTTGATGTAGTTAATACACACCAACAATAGCCGCTAACATCCTTACACTGACCAACACTGTCCACCTTCCTAGAGACAATAACATGAAAATCCGATTAAGAAATACGCAACTGTTGATTTGAAAAACATTTGTCCGCTGAAGTGGGATAGGTCCCCTTTACAAAAACTGTTAAATTTGTACTGAATTTTATTCTCAAACAAGTTTTGCCAGCAGGTCTAAGTCAGAAAAGTAAACAGCTCCCTTTAAACCTGCATCTGATCACAAGCATTTTGCTTTAATTGGCAGCAGTTCTAGAACTCTCCAGGGTATATGCCAGATTTCTGGTAGACACTTGATTTTGTAATTGAACCCAGTTTAACTGAAAAGTTGAAGCTCATTGGCTAGGAAATGGGATAAGAACAGTCTAATCCCTAGAGACAATAAAGGAGATGCTCAGCTCTACTCAGCTGCTGGAAACTCTAGCTATACTATGGCATTCGAGAATTCCATTGAGTCCATCCTCAGACTGATTAACGACTCCTCTAACAAGCAGTGAAATCTTTCCAAAAGAGTTCTTATTGTTCTTACAAGAGAAAACTTCTGAACCTAGAAATGCAATGGAGTTATTTACAATTTTTTCACTGGCTGCCATGGTACTTGTCTCAAGAAAAGAGTGGAACCATCCCAGATTTCTGCAGGCAAGGTACAGTTTTAGAGATGATTCTTGTTCAAGTAAGGTGTTGAATCAACAGCCAACATCATGTTACAGCATTTTAGGAAAGAATCAAAGCCTTTCCTATTAAAAGAGAATGGAAGAACACAGTTGCTAAGTGATGAGGATAAAAGTGGATTACATTAGAAGATCCTCTGAGCCATAAAACTCATCCAAAACTGACTGGAGCCTTTCCAGTGACTTCCGTGGGACTTCAATAAAACCTGTATAACTTTAATGAACCATTTCAGTCTTTTCTGGCCTTTCTTCATGTAATACTATGTACTGTTCAATGAAGAGAGAAGACAACACCATAGCCAGGGCAATTGGTATCAAGTTTCTTATACATTGTCCTTGTTCTCAGAGAATACTAATCAAAAATAAGATGCACTTGGGAAATTATTCAAACTGACAGCTGTGCTGAAATCCTCAGCACTTAGCCTACCAGAGGATCCAGGCCAAGATCACAGCTTGAAAAGAAAGAAGAATAAATGAGTATTTCTGATCTCTTATTCTACCTGCAGGTTAGAGCATCAAATGGGCGCTTAACTTTTGTCATTAATCACTCTATGGATACTGTCCAATAAAAAGGATATCTTGCTTTCTGCAGAAGATTAGAAAGGAATACTTCATATGACAGGTAAGGGGACTAAAATCCCAGGCCTGGCTGAGATACAAATGTGGTAAACTGGCCAGAATATCTCCAGCTTAGAAATTGGAGGAGTATTTCTAGCTGTGAAGAGACTGAGTTTGCAGATGAATTTGGGAGCAAGGTGACAGAGGAAAAAAGTGACCTCTGATGCAGTTTCAAAGGATAAGATGAAAAACCGTCATTTGACTCTGAACAACTGGATTTTGAGAATGAGGGAAGTCCCTTCAAATCCTGTTTTTAAATTAACTATCTCAAGCAGAACAGATGTCAGGAAACCCACATAGATTTCAAATACATTTCAAGACCTTGCTAAGCACTGAACGAAAAGCAAATCAAAGTGAGATCCCAGCTCCAGCCTTCTGAAATACCGTTAAAAACTGTCTTCAGACAGGATATGGGAGCACCAAGGCGCACAGTGTTACTCGAGTTAGGAGTAGTCCACTGAGTGAGCAACCAATCCATTCCAAGAGCAGGGGCCCATACTCACCCTATACTGAAGGGGATTCGTCTTTCTCTAAGCAAAATTATTAAAATCTGAAAGCTTTCCTGATCCAAGTTTCATTGAAACTAATATAGCCCTGTGATAATCAGTCTCATGATAAAGAATTGCCCTATCTCCACTTACTGTAGGTATCATGAATGATGATAAAATTCTAATTGTTTATCACATTGCTTTAAGTTGTTTACACTAAGATAATGTTCCTAATGTGGAAAAAGTAGCACTTAGCAAAAAAAAAAAAAAAAGAAGAAGGCTTCAAAAAAAACTGAAACATTGTGACTGAGAGAAACAGGGATTAGATGCTTGGCTAAATGTTTATGGATATTCTTTATCTCGGAGTCCTAAGTTATGTCACTGGCCAGAAGCAGAACAAAGCATTTTACCATTCTTATGCCCATAGTAACTGTACATTATTGTTTCATTATATGGTACAATAGTTAAGAGTTGCTGATAAAAGATGGGAGCAAATATAGACGTAATTTGGAAAAATTACATCGTTTCTCTCAGAGAGACAGGAAAAGGAAAAAAAAAGACAAGAGGAAAAGCAAAAAAAGAGTGACCAATTAATATTTTCCCTTTGTGGTAGATTTGCCTTGTCTGGATGCCAGGTGCCCACCAAGGCATTCTATCACTCCCCTCCTCATGGGGCAGGGGAAGAAAATAAAGATGGAAAAAAACCTCTTGGGTCAAGATAAAGGCAGTTTAATAAAGCAAAAGCAAAGGCCATACACAGAAGTAAAGGAAAC